GCGTGACCCGTGGGTGCAGTGGGGCTTTGCACGGCCCCCAGCAGCACCCCACGGGCAGCATGGGGCCGCCCAGCCTTGCCCTAAGAAAAGCCCATGCATACGGACCGGTGGTAGCCGCTTTTATTTACACAAAGGGATCACATGCTGAACAAGGAAACTAGTGCCACTAAAGTACCCGTAACAGGATTCTGTGCTTTATTCACAGGACAAAATATCGGTACAACATTTTTCATAGACTTCTTTTTCAAGCAGATACATCTCACTGTCCTCATGGTTACACACTGCGCTTAAGTGATGAAAGGCAAAGTGGAGCGGGTGGAGTTCTGCCCACCCCAGCACCACGGCAGGACGTGGCCCCACAGGGACAGCCCCCACAGCCACTGCCCGCAGCTGGGGATGTCCAGGAACACCCGTTTGCTTTGGGACACAGAGGAGGGACGTGCTTTGGAGCAGCCTGCGCACAGGCTGCAGGACGGGGCCATCACCATGGCTCTGGGGACCACATGGTGGTAAAAGCAAATGAGACCCCACGGAGCAAGCCACAGCACCGCTGACCTGCTGGGATGGGCAGTGCTTGCTGGGCACTCATTCCTTGGGGGCTGAGCAGGACTCTATGTCTTCCCCTGTCTCGGCTCGCACTGGAGCATCCTCCCGAGGGCCGGGGAAGCCCCTCGCCTGCCTCTGCTCACAGATTCTGGGCTGGCCAGGAGGTCCTGGCTCCAGCCACCCTGGACCCCCCTCATGGAAGACTGCAGCCTCATATCATCGCAGCTCTGCTCCTGGACGCTTATTCCCACCTGAAGTCCTGCCCGACTGTTTCATAGAATTTGATATTATAAGGTCTATAAAAGTCCCGAAGTTGCTCGATTACCTCCGGGTCTATCTGCACGTGAGTCCTGCCTTTGGACTTGCCCAGGCAGCGAGGCAAGCCGCTGCTCTCTGACTTTTTCAGGCAAGGAAAGCCTTTTGTCTTGTTGAAGTAGAAGTGCTTGTCCGTGATAACCCGTTTGATGCCCAGGAAGTCCTGGACTTTGCCCATCTCCCCGGCTGGGTCTGTGATCAGCTTCTCCCCACTGACAAAGTGGATCTGGGAGAGGGGGAAGTACTGGAGCCAGCTCTCTAGGTGCACGGCGTACATCCCGATGCGGATGGCGTTCCAGGAGGTGTCCACCAGCCCCAGGCTGCGGTTGCGGAAGGACAGCCCCTCGAAGGTGGGGATGTCTGGCTTCTTGGAGAGCGTCTGTGTGTAGTCCGAGATGGCCCGGGTGACCGGGTTCCTCACCACCACGATCAGCTTTGTGTCCCGGGACAGGTTGAAGATCCGCCGTGGTGCCTCCTTGGTGACAAAGTAGCTGGGGGTCTTCTCCACCGTGATCTGACTGTCGAGTGTTCGTGGCATCAGGCTCCTGCAAGCAAAGCAGAAGGTGATGGTGAAGAAGGGGCCGGGCCAGGCACCGGGAGGTGGTGTCCGTAGCGTGGGGCTGGTGGGGTGTCCCCTCCCGCAGCACAAGGCAGGCACAGCTCCCTCCGGCAGCGCTGCAGAGGGCCCCCGGGCATGGCAGTCTCCCGTGTCCATCCCAGTCCCAGGGGACCCACCCCGTGCCGAGGAGGGGGGCACCGGCAGCCCCGCATGCACAGCAGCAAGCAGAGATGCTTGGCTCCCAGGGGAGGCCAGAGCCAGGCAGGACGGAGGGCAAGGGCACGGCCAAGCTGCTGGGGACCCTGGGGCTGCACGGCAGCCCGGGCTGCTCCGTCCCCATCAGCAGTAAAGTTGCTGTCACTGTAAGGAAAGTGCCGGAGCCTTTCATCCCCCGCTCCTACACCAGTTGCCATTTGCAAAAGGAATTACAGTGGCTCCTTCCAGAATTGCTGCAGTTACCTGGCGCGTCTCCTCCCCGATGGCATTATGGTGCACCCTGGCTCCCACACACCCTGTGCTGCCAGCACCGTGCGCGGGCCAGAGGAGGGTGCCAGCCCAGGAGTGTGCCGGCCTCCGGCACCCAGCGGGAGCACAGCCCCCTCGTCCTTCTGCCTTCATCCTGGAGGTGGGCAAGAAATCAGTGCTGCCTGCACACAACCCCTGTGCCCAGTGATGGCAAAGGGTGCCAGGGCTGGGATGCAGGACTGTGGTGGCTGTGAGATGCCACCACCACAAGATGCTGTGGGGAGTGATGGATGAGGCCCTGGGATGCTGTGTTGCTCTGCCACTGGGAGCTGTGAGCGAGGGGCTGCCTGGGGACGTGGGGCTTGCACCCATGAGGCCATCACCCACCCCACCAGGGCTCGATCAGGCCCAAGGGCTCCAAGACGGGGTCCCGTGTACACCCATCTGTTTCTGGCACAGGGAAGCTGGGCTGCAAGGCCAGGGAGGGAGCGCAAGACCAGGGGAAAATGTAGTGTCTCTGCAGCCCAGCTTAGCACTAATTAAATCATTTGCTTTGACATGTGAACATCCAAATCAAATAAAAACTAATGGGATGGAAAGATTTATAAATTGGTCTTGTATTAACAGAGTAAACTATCAAATCCATTGCAGCCAGACGCACGACACCGCGGGTCCCCTGGCTGGAGCAGGCAGGACGGGGCCAGGTACCGACTGGCTCAGGCACCGATGCCGGGGA